ATATTTATTAAATTATTTCCATTTAGTAAATGTTTTGAGGGACCAACAATCAAACTTTCATGAAGGGGACAATGAACTGAAGAGTTTGGAAACCTCTGCCTTGTGTGTTCCAGTGTCATCTGCTGACTTAGAAAATATGCCAGCTCAGTACCCAAGCCAAACATGGCAACATGCCTTCAGCATGAAAAGGGAAGATACGTATCTAAGAGCTTCCCTTCAGAATACAGAATAACGTTGGAAGGGGCCTTGGAGGTCATCTAGTCCAACCCACTGCTCAAGCAGGAAACTCTGTACCATTACAGAAAAATGGCTGTTCTTAAAAAGAGATGGAGCACCCACAACTTCTGAAGGTAAGCCATTTTACTGATGAACGGAAGTACAGAATAACAAGAGTTGGAAGAGACTTTGGAAGTCTTCTAGTCCAACCCACTGGACTAGCAGGAGACCCTATATTAATTCTGGCCAAATGGCTGTCCAGTCTCTTCTTAAAAACCTCCAGTGGTGGAGCACACTCCCAACCTCTGGAGGCCAAGCTGTACATTAAGGTGCACCATTTAAATAGATTAAAAAAGCAAAAAAAACCCCAATAACCCCCAACTACGTATGGACCAAGCCTTGCAATCCAGGAACTGGGCATTGCAGCGTTGGCTCTAACGTCCTCCCAGCCTCTTTCGAGAACCGCAAACACGTGTTGCCCGTCCTCCCTCCCTGCAGAGGGGAAGGGCAGGCTCGGATTTCAGTCGCCGACCTTGGAAAAAGAAAGCTTGTAAGTGGACAGAGTCAGCGTGCGACCCCGCTCGCCCATTGCCCAAGCAAGGCGGCCGCCTCCCGCCCTCGTCAGCCCGAACCCTCCCAGCGGCGGCTGCAGCAGAACGCCCCGCCCCTCCAACGGACCTTCTCTTGGCGTTGCTAGGGCGCCCTAGCAACCGCCTGTCTCCGCCCCCCGCGGTCCGGCACATTCGATCCTTCCGGGCTTCCCCCGTTACCCCCAGCGCTGGAGTTCCGCCACGGGCGCGAGGCGCCTTGTGCTAGAGGAGGGAGAAGACGCGCGATCCTTGCGCGAGTCCCCGCTCGTGGGAGGCGTCCTTGCAATAGAACTGCTCCCCCCACATTCACCCACCATCGCCACCCGCTCCAAGCGCCGAGAGGAGTCCCTGGGCATTACTTTGCAAAATGGCGGTGGGTTTCCTTTGGGCATGGATGGGCGCGAGAAGAGGTCTTGGGCTGGGAGTGGGGGTGGGAGGGGCAGCAACCCCCATCCCCAGGATCCCTGTGCACGGTTTACTAAGTTGCAAAAAACAATTGTGTGTGGGGGGGGTCTCTGGGGCTCTCCAGAGATTGCTGCCAACTCCCAGGACAGGAGCGTGTGGAGAGATGCGAGGTGGTAGTTAGGGGTGGTTCCTAAGCTTAACCTGCATGATTGTCCAGAAGAAGAGCTATGCTGGTTTGTTGCAGAGGTTTGGTGACTTTTTGAGGACTAAACCCAACCTGGGTTAAAAGTTTGTTGGTGGAGTGGGAAATGACTTTCCCATATTTGAGGGGCTGCCACAGAGAGGAAGGGGTCAAGCTATTTTCTAAAGCACCCGAAGGCCAGAGAAGGAATAATGGATGGAAACTGAACAAGGAGAGATTTAACCTGGAAATAAGGAGAAACTTTCTGACAGTGAGAACAATCCACCAATGGAACAGCTTTCTCTTGGAAGTTGTGGGAGCACCATCACTTGATATTTTCAAGAAGAGATTGGACTCCCATCTGTCAAAAATGGTGTAGGGTCTCCTGCTTTGGGGGGGGGGGGGTTGGACTAGATGACCTACAAGGTCCCTTCCAACTCTGATCATCTGTTATCTCTTATCATAGAACTACAGAGTCAAATGGGCTGCCTCTGTCAGACTTTCCCAACTGCCAGAATTTCCCATCCATCATGTTGAAGTGGAATTGTGAATTGAAGCCTATCCATGCTTAGCAGGAGAATTCTGAGATTTGAAGTTCACATATGGATTGAGGAACACTGACCTAGATGTTACAGCAATCTATTATGTTATATATAACTATTTCCATAGCACTCTTTCCACTTAATGTTTATATCTTTTTTGAGGTCACTGAGACTGATATAACTGGCTTCCCTGGTTGTGCTAACCAAAATATCTGATGGGAATCCAACCATTGTAGCATGCAAGCCATGGTTTGGGGGCAAATGATGTTAATGAACCCAGCCAATTGAGGTTTAGTGATGTCTAACAAAGCACTAAATCTTTGTTGCCAAATGGGTTGTCAGGATTTTGGCAGCCCACATATGATAGCCTAAGGCAGTGAATAACTTATGTTTAAAGCACACTATAGTTAAAGAGCAATGTGAAACTGCATTGAGTGGCAAAGGATGCTCAGTTTAATGGTCACATAAGATTTAAATTTGATTCTGTCTAGAAGTAGGACTGACTGATACTTGAACTATTCAGTTGTATAAAGCATGTCTTACTTCCAGTTAGCAAACTGCACAGGACATTCATTTGTTTGATTTTTATGGTTCTGGAAAACATAGATGAAATTTATCCCTTTCTCTGTCAGCAGCATTTTTCCCCCATGGTGATAAGGAAAGCTGCCACCAGTTATTTAATATAAGGTGGCTTGATCTGTAGGCCAGGAATGCATAACAGATTAATTAATTTCCTGCTCTTGAACTAAGGAATCTGTGTGGTTAGAAAATTTTGTCCAAACCTAAGCAACTTTCTTCACTTACTTGCCAAGCTTTCTTCAGCAAACTGTCTCAGAATATTCTCATTCCAGGGAGAAAGAGCTGATACTGCAAAAGAGAAATTGGACTTTTTACTCAAAAGCCACAAATATGTTTTTGTTATTATCCCTTTAATAGGTATCATTTTAGAAGTAACGGTTATTTAATAAACTGCAAAAGGTTGGCAGGTGAATCAAGGAAATGAACTATGTCTGGTCTATGTTTGCAGCCAAAAACATGGCTGCCGTTATCTTCTATATTCTTTATATAGTAAAGCATATTATACATGTAAAATTAATAACCAAACACTTGTCATACAAGTTAAGTCTCTATTAATGAATAGTATTACTAAGATACGAAACATTAAAAAAATCATGAACTTTATGCTGTTAAACTTCACATTAGATTGATTCTTATACCACTTAGAACAGATGTGGAGAAAAGATGAGTTGGGCAGTCTTTGAGTAAGATCCAGATATGCTGGCAGAAGATCAAGCTTCTACCTGCGTGTCTGTTGTTTAGGATCTCTCTCTGTCTCTCCCTTTCTTACACACACATTTTAAATTTCAGCCCTCCCAACTCTTTATGGAGAATGGTTTTCCCTGGTCTGATTTTATCTCATTCGTCAAGATTTCTATTCTCTCAAAGAATACTTATCTGAAATTATACTTGAAAGCTTATTCTTGTATTATTTATCTTTAACAGTTCCAAGGATGTTATTCATATGAAATATATCACTAAATTCATCTCCCATTAAAAAAGCAGACCAAGATGAACCAGGAAATGAAAAGAAATGCTGAGTGTTTGCAAAATCAAGATACACTGGCCGCATCCATGTTACAAGAAACCCCATTTGACAGCTTGTGCCTGACATCTCAAGCTGTTCTTGAGAGAGCCCAAAAACAAGGAAGATCAAAATGCCCCAGATGTCATGGATCAAGGATGTTCTACTGTTATTCATGTTATGTTCCAGTTGAAACAGTTCCGGTTGAAGATATTCCTATTGTCAAGGTTAGTGCAGGGGAACTGCACTAGGAGGGCGGGAAAGGTCACAGTGTCTTCCATCATTTGATATCAAATTTCCCAGCAAGTCATTTTAATAGATGAAATATAAAGGTGGAGTTTAACCTAATCTTGTCTTTTGTGCCAAAAACTTCATAATAAGTTCCATAACCATAAAGCAGCTATAGTGAAAGTAAAAACAGGTTAGAGTAGCCCAGTGCCACTTGACAGTTTTCCTAGCCAAGATTCCTGTCCAAACATTGGCGTCTCTCTAGAACAGGTAGGCCTTTTTATGACCTGTGGATTTCAACTCCTAGAATTCCTGAGCCAGCCATGGTTTCCAGGGATTACTAAGTTGCGGCTGTTGCAGCGTCCCTGGGCTCAGCACGCACTTACAACATGCTGGCTCAGGAATTCTGGGAGTTGAAGTCCACAGGTCATAAAGAGGCCATAGGCCCCCACCCCTGCTGAAAAAAATGATGGAAAAGATGTCTACCTAAACTTGCCCCAAAGGCAGCCTTTAAGTCATTCAAACAGTAGCTTCTTTTCAATTGTATTATTCAATTTCATGGTATTTTTGTCCTTTCCCATTGATTATTTTGCTGAAAATTTGAGTTGTAACCAGTGCAAATCATGTATTATAACTCTGATATCCAGAGTGGGATGCATGGTTGAGCAAATGTATATATTTATGGTTGAATTTGGGGGTGTCTTTTTGATGCACTTTCTGGGCTCTTTGTTTAAGCTTCCCTTGAAGATTGATATAATCAAGCATCCCAATGAAACGGATGGCAAAAGTACAGCTGTACATGCCAAGCTTCTGGCCTCTGAAGATGTTACCATTTATACATATCCGTGTATTCCTGACTATGAAGAAATGCAACATGAAGTAAGAGTCTGTCTATGTGTAGCACCATAGGAAAACCTTTTGTTTCTCATTGCCATGATTGCTGCTGTTAAATATACACTGTGCTCAGCATTGTTTTGCCTGTATAAGAGCAAATAATCAATGTATTTATCCAGGAATTCATAAAGTAGGACTTCTTGCTTATTTGTATTCACAGAAGAGAGCTCCCCTCTTGGCTTATTTATTTAGAGTACAAGCATTTTTGCAAGAATTTACCTGAGAGTACAGGTAGTCCTCGCTTACTGAGCACTTGTTCTGCAACCATTCAGAGGTACGAAGCTGCTAAAAAATGTGATTTACAACTGGTCCTCAAAAATTGTTGTTCTTGCTATGTCCCTGGGGTATTGTGGTTAGCCGGCAGCAGGTGCGGACGGCTGAGGAGAGCGAGGACTCAGATGAGGGGCCAGGACCATTAGGGAGTGGACTGCTGCCTTCAGAGATTGTGGGGGCTGGCAGCAGCGATGAAGAGGTTCCCGAGAAGCCTATGCCAAGTGTGTGTGAGCGCAGGGCTGCTCTCAGGAGAGAGCAGCTGCAGCAGCACAGGCGACTCGGCAGTAAGGCTGCAAGGTAATGGCCCCTCCTTCAAGAAGACAAAAGCCAGCTGTGAAACGAATGTACTTTGCAGAAAGCAAAGACGTTTTGAAACTCCAGCCTCATGGACGTTCCGATATCCTGAGTTTGTAGTTGAAGATTTTTGTATTGCAAAATATTTCTTGTCTGTTATCTTTTGGCAAGTCTTGCACAGCTTATCACAGCTAATTATTTTGTAAAAGCATTACAAGATTTTTCTTCCTTTTGGATTGTGTTTGATTTGTTGGAAAAGGGTGTGGGTCAGAACATGGGGTCAACATGCATCTACAACAGCCACAGCGTCATATGGTTATGTGATTGCCATTTGCAACTTTCATGGGCAGCTTCCAACAAGAAAAGTCAATGAGGAAGCCAGCAGGAAGTCACAGTCATGGTATGTTGCATGTGATGACCTCTTAGTGATGGAGTTACTGGTTTCAATTGTGGTCAGTAAGAGAGGACTACCTGTACAGATGGCCTAAAGCCAAAATAACAAAGAAAATATTCCTAAGAGGGTGGATCAGCATGTCAGCCCATTTGGGTGAAATAAAAGTTTTGCAGGGTTTTAACATTTTCTCATATTTGTTTAAACAATGTTGTTGGTAAATACTACACAGATGGTCTTTTCAGAAATAATGGTGGAAGGACTATTTTTAAAGCAGATTCATTGGGAAAAATAGGGTTTGCCTTGTGGTTGAGGTTAAGCTAGATCTCATGAAGGTTTTTTCGCCCCATTTTTAGATTGCACTTATTTTTCCTGGACCTAATTCAGTTTCAATAAGCAACATTCCTCTCTCTTTGCAAGCAAAATGTAAGACCAAGGGCTTGTCAGCAGAGCCAGCGCCCAAGTGTGCAAAATTGGAGCCAAGTCACAGTAGAAGCATGAGTGAAGATAAATTGCCCAAGAGTGAAAATGCCCTGAAAAAAATTGTGTTTATCGACAGTACATGGAATCAGACAAACAAAATAATCACAGATGAACGGCTTCAAGGTATTATTTTTCTGAATGGAAACGAATCTTGGGAATTGTTCTAGATATAGCAGAGAGCTGTTACCAGGAATAAATACCTCCTTTCTACTCTTATTTTTCTCCCAAAAGTTTTGCTTTTCCAAAACTAGTGCACTGCAATACTGTATAATAAACTTTTTTGTACTCCAGTCAGATATTGCTGCATTTCAGGAAAGAAAGGGTTTTAGAGAAAAAGAGATGACTTATCTAGCCACACTTTGAAAACATAATGGAAGTTACCGAATAAATCTGCCTACATATGTCTTAATCAGGCTTACCCTTGTTTGTAATGATTTGGAGAAACCTGTTAACTATTTGCTACAAGTAATTTTTTTCAGTCTTTTGTGTAATTAAATGCCTACATTGTCGTCTTTGGTTTTCTTCACTCTGCAGGGTTGCTACAAATTGAGCTGAAATCTAAGAAAACCTGCTTTTGGCGCCATCAGAAAGGAAAACCAGAAACTTACCTCTCTACCATTGAAGCAATTTATTACTTTCTAGTAGACTATCACAAGGAGGTCTTAAAAGAAAACTACGATGGACAATACGACAATTTGCTTTTTTTCTTCTCATTTATGTATAAGTTGATCAGGAAAGCCAAGGATTCTTCAGGAGAAAAGTGAAGTGTTCCTCATGCAAATGTCCCAAAAGAAATGTGATCCGTTATCCTTTAAAACTAACTAGGATTTGAATGACTGAAACTGATTTACAAGATAGAATATTTACAATTATTGTCTTTTAAATTTAAACTAAATCCAAATTTACACAGACAAAGCTTAAAACTGTTAAGGGAAGAAGATGGTCTGAAGCAAATCTGGACTTTGTGACATCTAAATAGAAATATTTTTTTCTTATTTATTGAACAATAAAATTATCACTTTGAAGTTTGTATTTAAAGATAGCAGAAACTTCATTTGTTTCATTATGTTTCATTATTCCACTTCCAAATTCCACCCCCAAAAGGAGCCAGACTAATACGTTCAGCTGGATACTAGCAGTAAACATGATTAGGACTGAATTAAGTTGCCGAATTGCTTAAATGAGGTTAGAAAATTTAGGTTCTGCTGCTGATTGCTTATAGGTCTGAACCAAGGTTTTCTTCTAAAACGGGTATCCAATCTTGGCACCTTTAACACCTATGGGAGATAGATCTGGAATTCAACCCCCAGAATTCTTACTTTGGCTGTATAGCAAACTTCAGAAAAAGTTGACGTTTTTATACCAGAGGTTAGTTTCTGGAGAGTGAGGAAGGGTGTTTCCCAACCTACAAGGGACATGACAAATATTTCCTCCGTTTTTGTGAGTTTTTTGTAATGAGCACATTACAATTTATGGGAGATTAAGGCACCTATTATAATGCTTAATATTAAAAAATAAAATTGGTGCCATCAAAAATTGGCAGTCCTGATTAAAAGCTCACAAATGGCCTGTGATGTCCAGAAGATACCGTTAGTTATCTTGCTTAATACTTCTAGATATTACAGTCCTTTTTAAATTTCGGCTTTATTTATGGAAGCCAGCATAAGAATTGGCATTTATGCTTTCCTTACACAGGAGCAGGTCATTTGCTCCTAAGATTGCAGCAAAATAACAATTTAAGAAGTTCAAGGCAAAATATGCATTCCTTCCTATAAGATATAAACTTAGCTGTAATCAAACATGCATAGAAGCTACAATAAAGCACCTTAGAGGATGGATCACGCATCTTAAATCTTACATGTTCTATAAAGCTGCATATGTAATTCAAATGATAAATACCTTTTGGAGTCATCTTTTTAATAAACTAAAAACAACCACTAATGCTTTTATTGTCCATAGTTCTATTATTAGAACTATATAGTAATAATAATAATTACTATTGTTATTTCCACCATCAAGAGAAGGGCATCGTGGTTTTGTGCAATGATGAAGGCCACTTCCAATGTATGCATTCTGGTATTTCCTGAGAGTTTCATCTCTGTTGCTAAACAGGGGCACTTTTTTTTTATTCTTCTAGCAAAGCCACTTTTTTAACTTTATTCCTCATCTGTCTTCCTAACAGGAGAAGTATTACCAGTCTTACAGTCTGAAGCCCCTCAGACCTCGTCTTCAACTTGCACTTCCCAAATCTCTCTTCTCCAAGCCCGTCCATTGCTGTGCTTTGATTGACCATGCTTCTACTTCATCTTCACAAGCTATCACTATTATACCTTAGAGCAGACAAGTCAAACTAGATCAAAGGTCTCCAAACTTGGCAACTTTAAGACTTGTGGACTTCAGCTCTCAAAATTCTCCAGCCAGCATAGGGAATTGAAGTCCACAAGTCTTAAAGTTGCCAAGATTGGAGATCTCTGATCTAGATCCATAGCCACCATTTCCTCTACAAGATCCCTTTCTGTGGTGATGGAATGTCCTCTCCAGAGGACTACAACTGGCCCAGAAATTATCACTTTTCTCTTTTATTGTACAGGTTGAAAATGTCATAGCAATGTTAGAGAAACAAGTAGATTATTGCATGTATGGATGGACAGATAGAGTTTTCACCCATATAAAGACACAGAGAAACCATTCATTTCTCATATGAGTTGGATTCTCTTATTTATCTTTCTAACAATGTATATACATAAGAGGTAAGTCCATTTTCAAAGGATACAAATAATGGGCACCAGCTAGTTAGAAGGTCCATTGATTTCAAGGTCTTCAATAAACACAATCAAATTAAAAGGTACATAATAACACTTTCATCACTGGATGATGCCTTAGAATGACCGGAAGCACTAATGGCTAAAAGAATCTCGAATTTTGCCTTGTAAAGCATCACAGGTTTTCTTTGCATCTCCAAGCAACATCGAAGTGTTCGGTTTATAAAAAATGGGATTGTCAACTGCAGCGTACCCAACTCCCAAGGTGCGTTTCATGACAATGACCTGGTGGAAAAACCAAATTACATAATAAGAATGAGCTCAACTGTTTCTTGCCTTTACTCGAAAAAGCTAGTTAAAAACATAGCCTGCCTTCTCTAAGAAGTATACAGTATGCAAATTGGTTAAATCTTTAAATGTGGTTTACACCAACACCAGTGCAAGGATATGCAGAAAAGACTTAACAGAAGTCGGTAGATTTTTCATTGAGGCAAGAATGAAGGACAGAAATTCACATATTAATACTGTAAAATCATAAAGCTAGAAGAGACCATTAGGGTGAGTCCAAACTCCTGCCAGGGTAGGGATTAAATAAAATTGAATTAAATTAATGTCAATTAAATCATTCCAAGCAGATGATTTTGGTAATCGGTTCCAGTGTTGTTGAGTGGCTCTTACTATGAGGAATTTCTAATGCATTTTCCCCCCAATACTCAACCTGAACCTGCCTTGCTGTAATTTAACTACATTGTTCTATGTCCTGCCCAGTAGGATAATGAAGAGCAAGACTTCACCTGCTTCTACCCCTCTTTCTGATATTTGAACAATGCTCTCTTATACCCCATCAATCATCTTTCATGACTAAGCCTATTCTCTCCCCTCAATTCTTCCTCATTGCTTGAATTCTAAAAATACAATATTTCACATCCTGCTGCTTAGCAAAAAGCAGCCACCATATAATCATAAGGACATAAGCAGGCCCCAGCTGGATCAGAATGCAGGCTGTTAAATGCAAAATCTTGCTTATTACACTGGCATATTTTCTAGAGCGCTTTCCAGATTCTCCAGCAACAGATAGCAGAACATTCTCATTTAGATTATTGTCTAATTAAATATCCTCCTCTTTCTTCCCAACTCAGTGTTTTTTCTGAGGTCTTTGAGTTCAGCTGTCATCATTTCCTAGCCAACATGACTGTTGACCTTACTGCCAAGACAGCATTATCAACAAACTTTCTGTGGTGCTGTCCCTTGGATGCTAGAATCATTCCTTCTTCCAGTGAAACTGCACCTTGTGTCAATTGGAGGATTTGACGACATCAAAACAAGTATCATAATAATAGCTCACACTGCTGTGAAGGCAACATTTTCATATTTGTGGACAAAGACCCCTTTCTTTTTACATTGTGGGTTAGGTATTCTTTGCTCTAATGAAGGAACGATCGCAACGCTGTGTTCTCAGTTTCTTGTTGTCACTCACTTGTTTAGATTTCCAAACTTCCAATACAGGCATGCCAGCTATAATGGAGTTGGGATCTTCTTGTGCTGCAGAGTTCACGGTATCATTAGCACCAATGACCAGCGTCAAATCTGTATCTGAAAGTAAGAAGAAAAATGCTTGCAAAAGGAAGACCTTTCAATATGAAAAGCTTCGAAATCCAAGGGTGCCACAATCACATTAAAAAAACAACAACAACAACCTAAATCGGGGAAGCTCTAACGTTATTTCTGAGACTGTAAAAGAAAGCTGGGGAAAAAAGACTGTTAAGTATAGCGAGCCAGCTAACTGGGACTCGGTGTCCTTTGCACGTTGCTTACACTACTATTTGTCTGCAGAAATTGTGGCTTGTGAATAGTTTTCTCCTTCTCATGGAAAGGCTTCTAAAACAAGATCTATGCAAAATAACCCATGAGCAAAACCAGATACAGGATATCCAAAATGGACTGGGCTACGTAGTTCAAAGTAAGGTTCAGGACAAACCAAGTAAATGTCATTCCTCAGTTTCTGATCCTCAGTTGTGACCTAACTTATCTCTTCCCCAAAGTGACCAAGTTATCCCACTTCATATTATCTTCACAGAAACCTAGACCAGAGGTGGTATTTAGCTGGTTCTGACCAGTTCTGAAGAACCGGTAGTGGAAATTTTGAGTAGTTCGGAGGACCAGCCAATACCACCTCTGACTGGCCCCTCCCCCATCTATTCTCTGCCTCCCATTGAGTCCCAGCTGATCAGCTGGGTTTTCTTTTGTTGCCCTGCACAGGAGAACAGAGCTGGAAAGCAGGTTAGTGGCATGGGGAGGGAATGGAGATTTTGAAGTATTCTTCCCCTGCCATGCCCACCAAGCTATGCCCACCAAGCCACACCCCACCCACCAAGCCATGCCCACAGAACTGTTAATAAAAAAGTTGAATCCCACCACTGACCTAGACTAGGCTGAATAAAAACACGTCGGCTTAAGACAGTGGTGATTCCCATTGTGGATATCCTCAATCTATATTGACTAAAGTGAGGATTAACCCAACGCCTAGAAAATCTTTGTTGCATGTAAAGCACCACTCCCTTTCCTCTCTCTCTCTCTCTCTCTCTCTCTCTCTCTCTCTCTCTCTCTCATTTTTATGGGTTCTGTTTCTGCTTGTATGTCTGCTTGGTAGGGAGCCTGCTTGAAATCTGTAGATTCTGCATGAATCTGTTCCATCTGAATTCAGCTGCTCTTGCAGTTTGGAGAGATTCCATATTGGCATATTAGCCTGACAAGCCTAAGCTGTTGAATTCATTGCTGCGATGCTAATTTGAAAATTTATTTCTGGTCCAGGACTGTCATGAGTCCCTTGCTGAGCCATAAAACCTGACCTCCCAAAGAGATGTCAAAGACAATTGCCTCGTCTTCTGATGGACTGCCTGAGAAAACAGACCACCTCTGAAGTCAGATGAGAAAACTCTGGAACTGAAGTGCTTCTAGCATCCAACAAAATATGGCCAACTGTCAATCTCAGAGGACTTTTTCAGGCATCCATTCAAGAGGTTGCTTCAGGTGTGCAA